CGGATTCTGCGTCTCCCTCTCTGTGCCCCTCCCCTGCTTGTGCTCTGTCTCTGTGTGTCTCTTAATAATAAATAAACGTTAAAAAAAATTTTTAAAAACAATGGGTAAGAAACGGTCAGTCAGGGAATCGCAGGAGACCCAATGACCACACGTACATGACATCATGGACAGGCTCCTGGAACAGAAAGAGGGCAACGATTAAGGGAATACGAATGAAGTGTGGCTCATTAATTGTGACAAATGTAGCATACTAACGTACGATGTTAACAACACGGGAAACCAGCCGGGAGACTGTCCTACACGGACTTCACAACCTTCCTGTATGTCGACATCTATTCTAAAGCCAAAAGCTTCTTTAAAACAGATGGAACGCCCTCCTTTCTCTGTCCCCCTCTCACCCGCTGTCCACCCCACATGAGGCCGTTAATGCCCACTAGCGTCCCGGCCACGGGTGTCAGGGACCTCGCTGGGGTTCGGGGAGGCCCAGCACGTACCCCCTTTCCGAGGGCACCCCAGGTTCCCCATGAGGGAAACACCTTCTCCCGCAGGAGGCGCTCTTAGTGACAGGCAGGGGATGGCCGGGACCTATGTCTCATTATGGGAGCCACACCGGGCCCCCGTGTCACCCCGGGCACAGGCAGCAAGTAGACGTGAGAGCCAGCGGAAGCCTCCCGAGAGTCTGTGCACCTGTTGTGAGCACGACAAGGACAGATGAAGGGGTTCACGCTGGCGGGTGGGAAGACGTGCTGGGGGTAGGCTGTTCCGTCCACCTCTTCTCAGACGCGACGCCGGGTGCCCCTTCTCTTATTAATTCTTGAGACCCACGATATACATCCGGCAAGCCCTTTATTTATGTATTTTTCTTAAATGAGCCAGACGGAGATTTATGGTCTGCAGCTAAGACTATCACTGGCTACAGCAAGGGCATATTTTACCTGGAACAGAGTAAGACGAGGGCCCTATTCTAGGTCAGGGCAGGTTCAAAGGCTGCATCCTTCAAGTGAATTGAGCTCAGGGCCAGTCTCAAGCCACCACATTATCCTCCAACAACCTCAGGATCTGGCACAGAGGGCTTTCCAAGCCACCACAAAGCCCTTTCGAGCCTTAGCCATCCCGGGCCCCCTTTCTCCCCTCATCAAATATTCTATGTTGTTCTCTCACGGCCGCCTTCACAACCCTCATCTTTGCAAGAACACCTCCTTGGTAATAATGTCTGATTCAGAGACGACCTCGCGTCTGACCACCGTGCCAGACACGACGTATGTCACACACTCTTGAGCGTTTAGAGAGGGACACGGCAGAGACCTCAGGAAACTGCCTGCGTTCATTCGTAATGTGATGTGTTCATTCACTCATTGGTTCAACCAACTTAAGAGTATCTCTGACTTTGACAAAAGCCCCCATTCATCTGAGTATTGTGCCACTGTTCTGGACCTTTCCACCTGCACTTCCCGGAGTGGTGGGGAACCAAGCTCACATTATGCAAATACTTGCCTCTAGCCCCAAGTTCAGATCTGATGACCCAGACCCCTTTCCAACTGACGTCCTGGGGGGAAAGGAACGTTAGAATAGGTAGGGGGCATGTGACAGAGAGCCCACATTCTCTTCTTCCTCCAGACACATAATCAGGTGATTAGAGACCTCGGATGCTTCTGAAATTGGCCCTCTGTGGGGGAAGAGACGGGACAGAACAGAAGGCAAGAACACAAAGAAAGAACCCAACTGCCATGGGACGCTTCAGTTGTCTCCTTGAAGGAAAACATTTCCTGAAATTAAAAGGGATCCTTAGATGTCTAACGAATGAAAGCATTTATTTGTTTTTCCTCTTTTGTGGAGCTCTGCCCGGGAGAGCAGGAGCTACGAGGGAGAAGACAGTTCCTAAGATGACGAGAGCCCCACCCAGTTTTCTTCTTCTCGACAGTTAATGCACACACCCGGGCATTGACACACACACGTATACGTATGCACGCATGTGCACACACGCATGCAGACATATACATACACACCTGTGCAAACACACCTACACACAAGTACACGTGTGCACACATATCCGCATACACCTGCCCACATGCACACGCACCTGCACACACATATACACACACCTGCCTGCATATACACCTTCACACACGTACACATATGCACACATATTCACACACCTGCCTACACACACATGCAAACATGCACACTCCTGCACACACACGTACATGTATGCATGCACCTGCTCACACACATCTGCACACACCTACACATATGAACACATCTGCACACTCCCACCTGCACACACGTACACACATGCACACCCACCTGCACACACACACGTGCACACACATACAACTAAGGTTTTAAACCGCCATTCCTGATGACTTGCAGGATACAACTGGATTCCTGCCCTGTGTGTTAGCCCTGGTGCCACACTCAGGTCACAGGCTCAGAACAAGCAGGGGAGGTGGCAGAAGGCAGTGAACCACTCTCGGCAAAGAGCTCAAGGGGCAGCAGCTGCATGGACTGGAGGGCCCCCTCCTGCTGGTGGCACTGAATTTGGTCCCCTTCCCACTCTGGCCATCCTTCAGTGGCCATGGATGTCCTGCTGACACCTGACCTGTATACCATAAGCCCACCCCTGACCGCGTGAGCATGTTCTCACGGAGCATCTAGAAACAGAAGTCACAAATGCAGACAAAAGCCCCCGAGGACACGCGGCTGGATCCTGCAGGGTCATTTATAGCAGGTGGCCAGCCAGACGGAGCAGACCCGCCCTCACTCTGAATATTTGGAGGCTACACTAAATTAGTGTCAAACTGACTTCATTAAAAAAGACACATGGTCTTACTACTTTGTAATGATGAGCAATCAGACTGAACGCTAACAGCACGACCTGATTCAGGATCACCTCCAGCCGTTACCACAAACCCCAATGACTCACCAGTAACGACAGCATGTGAAGGATGCAGCAAACACATCATCAGTGCTTTCCAAGGGGCACAAGGTGTGCCCCTCACCAGGTTCAACACACATATATGAACATTTAGTTCACAATGATCGTAACCGAAAAACTAAACTTTTCTACCAATTTCTAACCAGGGACTCTGAACAAACACACCTCTGCTCCACACCCCAAGTGCTCAAATCTTTACCTTCTAAGTGGCCACGCCGGGGTGTTTCAAATGTGTCTGTTTCAGATTTTGCAAAGATGTGGACTCCTCGGATTATGTGGCCCAGCAATGCCAATTTCCGCTGGCTTTGTTACCACTCGCCAATGACCGAGCGGCCCTCGGGACTCTGATGACCATGCACAGTGGGCGGTAGGCGGTCACCAGCTACAAAGCTTTCTGTGAAGTGTAATACTCCATATGCAACTGTGTCCCCCAAAAAGCTGGATGTGGACATCATCTCCTGGAGAGTCAAGGCTTCAAGAGATTTGGGGTTTTCACCCTGGGTTCGGGAAATCAACAATTAGCACTTGGCAAACCTACCGGACGGCAGAGGTTCCAAAACCACCCAAGAACAAAGCTCCCCTTATTCCAAACCTTTGCCTTCTCTCATCAGAACAGCTCTCGACATCAACAGCCACCTCCACAAAGAACATTATAGAAGACCGTATGTGGAGAGGCAGAGAACAGAGCCAGCAGACCTGTGACCAGCTGCATCCAGGTCTGATTCCAGAGGACGGAGGGAGAGCTAATGAGGCCTCAGCCCCGCAGATGTGTTTATGTGACCTAAATCCCTGTGGTCAATCCCCAGCCGTGCCGCCAGCCCACGCCGAAGGTTTGACCTGCTGGAATCAGCTGCGTTCAACCGTGAGATTAATGTTGTGCATTAGTTTCTGTTCCTTTGGTCAAGATTAAGAGGTCATAAATCAACAAAGCTTAAATGTGCACCGTATAAGCAAAAGAATGAATCCTTTCTGAAATTCACCCACCCCTTCACAAAGCCAAAGAGAAAGGGGAAAAAGAAAACGAAGAAAAAGCAAGTATTAAGCCCACGTGGAGAAGGACGAGACAAGAGGAGCATCACCGTGTGAACTCTAAAAGCCACACAGACGCTCGGTCTCACGTACGCTAACAGCCCCTTTTCAGGGATCATGACAGATGTCATTACGTAGCACATGAGACCACGTCACTGCGTTCGCTAACAACGTCAGGGCACTTTGAGTGACCCGATCAGTCACGCCCAGATAGCTGTATACTGAAGTCTGTCTTGTGTTTAAAACAAACAAAAACCGATCTAATGAAAATCCAATCAGGCCAAGGCCAGTAGCTTCTGTGACATATTACGTCCCAAAGAGAAAACCAACCCGTTCTTTCCCCCCAAAGTACCCAGTCCTCCGTTTAAATGTCTTCTTGTCTCTGGTACGCTCTTAAGTAAGTAACACTCTCAACAAATTCTACTATAGATTCTTCACACGTTAATGCTCTTTTATATTTCGAACACCGCGTTCTATTTCCAGAGAGAAACAGAGTGAGGCTGGTACCATATCGTACTGAGAGCTCACGGGCTCGGAACAGACTTGAGCTGGCAAAACCCTATCGTCTCTCCTTCCGACAACCGTCGCGATCCCATTTGCCGACTCGTTTCAACTGCGAGCACCGGGCTCCCCGATGCTCCAAGGGCCCCAAGGGACCTCGCTAGCATTCCTACAACTTCCGAGGAGACCCCACCCTCAGGCAAAGGCGCACATCAGCGTCCCGCGGGCTGCTCTGGGAGGGCCCGGACCATCCTGTAATGAAAATGTCTTCACCACCAAATTGCCTCCCGGGAAAGGACAGCCCGTTCTATTTTCCCGGAAAGGGGGGTTCATAAAACTTGGGAGGCAGTAACTCAGCGCTCGGGGTCAACGAGTGGGTCTCTGGAGGCACCGTGTGGCCTCAGAGGCACATGAACAGGTGCGCACGGACAGGTGCCGCCGGGGAACTCACCTCAGCGTGAAGCGATCGGCGCTGCAGTTTCGGGACACGGCCACAGGGAAGGTGAGCACTTCGCCCTGCCTCGCCGTGCGGGCCGAGTACCGGATGGCCACATTGCTGTCCAGACGCAGCTCCCTCAGGGCGGGCCTGCTGCCCGTCTGGTAGAGGAAGACGCTCCCGATCCTCTGCAGGCGGGGCACGGCCTCCTCCGGCCCGTCCCTCCCCGGCCGGATGGAGTTGCCCTTCCTGGCGTCCCCGCCGCCGGCACAGTCCCCGCGCCCGTCCCCCGGCTGCACGGCATAGTAGAGCTCCACGGGGCTCCCCTCGGGCGGCCCCGGCGCCTTCTTCCTCCCGGCCAGCACAGTGGGGGGCCCGAACCAGCCGGCCAGCAGCTCCAGCTCGGCCACGCACAGCCCCAGGGCCCCCTGCAGACGGCAGCCGGCCCGCACCTCCCGGGTCTCCCGGAAGGCGAACACCCGCAGGCAGGGCAGTCTCTCGCCCGGGCTCCGCGCCGCCCAGTCCCGGCCCAGCAGATGGAAAAGCACCTGCACCTTGGGGCGGCTCAGGTACACCTTGTCCCGCACGATGTGCGCCCTCAGCTTCCAGTTGAGGGAAAACTTGCTGGTGAAGCCGAAGGGGCTGGAGGGCAGCATTAAGTCCTGGGGCACCACCTGCTCGATGGAGAAGGGCCCGTAGCTGGCGTTCAGGACGGGCAGCCGCTTGGATTTGTAAATCAGGAAGGATTCCACGCGGGACTGCAGGCTGGAGTTTCTCATGATGTCCTGGTTGGCCTCCTTCAGGAAGAAGGACACGTCGGTGTTCTTGATGTGGTAGGTCACGGGCAGGTAGGTGGGCAGCAGGGAGAACCTCTGGATACTCTCCAGGACCCCGCGGCACTCGGTCACTGCGGGAGGGAATCGGGGCAGAGGCGTTAGAAACCCGGGGCGGCATCTCCGCGTCCCTTTGGTACAGATCACCCCCTTTGTCCCCACCACCCAACTCTTTACCCAAACCTTCTAAATCATCCACTCACTTGGTACGAAGTATGTCGCTCTTATTTTTTTAGTATTTTTAAAGTTTATTTACTTACTTGTTTTGAGAGAGAGAGAGAGAGCAGGGGAGGAACAGAAAGAGAGGGAGACACAGAATCCCAAGCGGGCTCCGCACTGTCAGCTTGAAGCCTGATGAGGAGCTCGAACTCACGAACCTGTGAGATCATGACCTGAGCTGAAACCAAGAGCCAGACGCTTAACTCGCTGAGCCGCCCAGGCGCCCCATTGAGTATGCTGTTTTTAAAATGGGGTTGTGCCTAAAACTTACTCTTTTTGCTCAAAGGAGAAGGCATCTGGCATCGGGAAAGTCTTAAGAGTGTGCAAGCACCAGAAAGAGGAGGCTGTTCTCGTTAGCTCCATCGGACAGACGGACGCTAGGTGGAGAACTCACTTCCTCAGCGCGGGGACTGAGGCTGCGTCCACCTCCCACCCATGACACACGTAAGGACACGCCGGCCACTGGGAAATGACAAGGGACTCGGGGCAAAGGGAAACTAAAACGGGCCACGACAATCACGCGGACGTCACGCGCACCCCTCGGGGTTATGCTGAGAAATGAAAAGCCCAGAAGGATCTGCTGGGAGCAGTTACAGGAGAGGACCTGACCACGGCACGGCAGACCCGCGTGTCCCGAGGCAACCGGCCCCTCGCATCACAGCCGCACCCCCCCGCCCGAAAGCCATCTTGATACTAGTGCACAAAAGGTATTCTTTTCTCCCCTCGCTGAACACAGCCCTCCGTCAGGGAGCGGGGGCAAAAACCCAAGCTGTTTTTACAGTACGCCTTATTTTCTGTAAGAAAAACACAGACGCAGAAACTGCACAACGCAAGAACCAATTTAACGGCTTTTAGAAATGGAAATTATTGGCCTTGGGAACACTGACTTTCCAGGCAAAGTTCCACAAGTCACACAAAGCCCTTCTCATTAGGAGCCGTGTAATTATCTCTGGTTATTCCGCGATAAAAGCTACTCGAACCCTGACACTCACTGTGCCAACCTGCTTCAAAGGCCCGCGTGAACACCTGTTCCGGCTCACGACGCCTCCCCGAGTCTGGACCCCTCGCAGCAACGGTCTGCGAGCAGAAGACAAAGCAAAGGACTCAGAGGAAGGGGTCCTGTGCCTGACTCTGCCGTACGTGTTTGGGAGGTGACAGGCGCTGAACCTCTCGGCCCCTCGGGGGCCGGTCTGCAGAGTGAGGGCCCCGATCAGGGCACCGAAGAACCGTCCAACCACAGCACCGCCGGGAGCTAAGCTACACTCACTCCACTTCTGGACGCGAAGCCGGGTCGCGACGGACGTTCGTCCCGAGCGTAGCGACAGTCGCGAGTGAAGAACTCTCTCGGTCCCACGGCTTTGTCAACCCCAGGCCAGGCGGAGTCCCAATCAAGCAACAGGGTTTGTGTGGTGCTGACCCGGTGGAAGCGGCCGAAAAGTGAGCAGCTGTGACTGACCGGAACAGTGACGTCATACGGTTCAACCTAATAAGGAGGACTTTCTGTTCCCCAAAATCAGAATATCAGAGGTAGAACCAGACTCTTTCATTCCTTAACAGGATTGAATTTTTTAAACTTTCTGGACATCACTCGGGAGTCATGTTTCCTATCCTTCTGTATCTTCCCACATGAGTTTTAGTGAAACCAGAGAACACGGAGTGGATCTGCCGCTAATGTTCTGGACTGAACGCTTTGTCCCCTCACTGGCACCCTGTCCCCACCCTCTGCTGCGCTCCCGCCACGCTCAAAGTCACTTCTCTGGAGTGCTTCCCCTGACTGCATGATTCTGGGCCACGAGCCCCATCCACGTCCCGCACGCTCCTACACAGGGCAGAAGGGCGCCCAGAAAATTGCGAGTACCCAATAAATATTTGATGAATGTGTGAGTGGTTGGGCCGACAAATGAATTATGCCGTTAACATTACAAAGAGTGGATTATACGTTTACAGCGGGATTTTAGCTGCCGTCTTCTGTCCATCATCTCTTTATAAGTGGAATCCTCGATCCCATTATGGGCTCCATGAAACACTAGTGATGTGGGGCCAAGGAAGACAAGCTTCTCCAGGCAATGAGATCTCTGAAGGACCTACATCAATGACACAGTGTCTCCTGATTCTTTTTTTTTTAATGTTTCTATTTTTATTTTTGAGACAGAGAGAGACAGAGCATGAGCAGGGGAGGGGCAGAGAGAGGGGGAGACACAGAATCTGAAGCAGGCTCCAGGCTCTGAGCTGTCAGCACAGAGCCCGACTCGGGGTTCAAACTCACGGACCGCAAGATCATGACCTGAGCCGAAGTGGGAGGCTTAACTGACTGAGCCACCCAGGCGCCCGTCTCCTGATTCTTAAAAGGACACCTGGGCACTCGACAGAACAACTGCCTTGAGCCGCCCACACCAGCTTCTCATTCCTTCCAGAAACCGCCAAAACCAAACCACCAAGTAACAGAAAGTTAAACATCCACGGTAGACACCAAAACTGTGTGCACTTTCCTGTTGAACCCCTGACCCCCACTCCTTGAGGACACCAAACTTAATTGTGCAACTAATTACATATTCCAAGGGCAATGACTACGGGTCCTCCGACTTTATTTGGGAAAGCAATAAGGGGAGGTCACAGCAAACATTGTTGAGAGGGAAGTAATTTCTAAGCTTTCTTCCGCAGGTGGCTTACTTGTCTTTTTGCCTGGTATCTGACCCACATGTTTATTGCTTAAAAGTGCTCCGAGTTGACCTAAAGCTAGTGTTATTTCTTTGTCCTTCCTTTTTTCTTTTTCTTTCTTTCTTTCTTTCTTTCTTTCTTTCTTTCTTTCTTTCTCTTTCTTTCTTTTTCTTCCTTCCTTCCTTTCTTTTTCTTTCTTTTTAACCAAACTGCAAAACTCATGCCAATTCCGTTCCACAGTGCACAAAACGGACTAAGAAGTAAAACTCATTACCCTTGAATCCCCACAGGGGTGGCTACTATAACCTAAGAATACCAATTCTCCATCAACATGAGCAAGGTGTCAGATAACCAAGAAGCCATGCCCAGTAAAGCTCAATTAATAACCCATTAAGAAAAAAACTACATTTGGTTTTGAAGCCATGGCTTTAAACAGTAATTTGAAGGAAAGCAACATGTTCCCATCTTAAAGCAGTTCAGAGTGGCATCAGAGAGACTTTATATTAATTCTAGCATTTTTGAAAAGATAATTTTTCCCTAAATAATAACTTTTTTTTTTTTTAATTTTTTTTTTCAAACGTTTATTTATTTTTGGGACAGAGAGAGACAGAGCATGAACGGGGGAGGGGCAGAGAGAGAGGGAGACACAGAATCGGAAACAGGCTCCAGGCTCCGAGCCATCAGCCCAGAGCCCGACGCGGGGCTCGAACTCACGCGAGATCACGCGAGATATCGCGAGATCGTGACCTGGCTGAAGTCGGACGTTTAACCGACTGCGCCACCCAGGCGCCCCCCTAAATAATAACTTTTAAGAAAGATGGGGGAGATGGCAATTTGAGCACAGACTTTCATACTTTCCTCTGGGCAGGCCAGAAAGCAGTCACGGAGGGCATACGGTAACAAGCAGAAGGGTCATTACCTTCTGACCATGAGGTTCAGTCTGCACGCCAGGAACCATGGGAGGTCCCGAGAGATCACAGGGGTTCTAACCCCACCAGCCAAAATACAGGAAGCCAGGATCAATTTCCAATAAACAGAGACATTTCAGGGCCATGCTTATAAAAGGAAGTAAATCGATGCGTCGTTTATTTGAAATTCAAATGTAACAGAAGTCCGTATCTTTATTTGCTAAATCTGGAACCCTAAGCAGAGCAGGCAGCCGGGTGGAAACTATCAGATATTTCTCTTTTTTTTCAATGTTTATTTATTTTTGAGATAGAAAGAGATAGAGAGTGAGTGGAGGGACAGAGAGAGACAGAGAGAGGGAGACGCAGAATCCGAAGCAGGCTCCAGGTTCTGAGCTGTCAGCACAGAGCCTGACGCGGGGCTCGAACCCATGAACCGCGAGATCATGACCTGAGCCAAAGCCGGACGCTCAACCGACTAAGCCACCCAGGTGCCCTGAACTGCTTGCTATTTCTAGGAGCAAAAGTCCTGAACCCCATGGATCCTGTGCACTTGGTGAGCTCCCGACGCTGGCAGTGAACTTTTGCAATTAGCTGAGTTGAAAGACCCAAGAGGAAGCCTGGCCTCTCGCACAGAAAGCCCCCCAGAGTCAGGGTGTCCTGCTGACAGGGAACAGAACATGAGACATAGGCTCCCACTGCTCCTGGGATGCACCCAGGCCAACCCTAAACTGGTCCAGAGCACAGTAGCTGGGCATGTCCACAAACCCAGTGCACCCTTGCACTGCTCAAGCTGCAGGGCCCCCCACATAGGGTAATGAAGGATCAACACCCCCCCCAGGTGAATTTCTGTCATGAACACTAATAGAAGAAAGAAAACTAGGGACAGAAGAAAGCACTCCATTGTGTGAAGGGAAATTTCCCTGCAAGAGACTTCCCTCCTACAGAGACAGTGAAACAGAAAAAGCAAAGGAACAAAAAGCAGAGAGGAATGGAATCCACATGCAAAAACAGCAAAGCAAAAGAAACAAATTTAAAAAGGCATTCAAGAGGCCAAGGAAGGACACAGCTTTGAAGAATACCCATCAGAGGGTAGGGACGTGCATATTACCCAGGACAACTTTTAAGCTCCCCACAATTAAGACCGGCTCGGCCCTTTGCCATTTCTAATGCGATAAGACTAAGGGGTAAGAATCTGGCAGTATTAAAAGTGAAGGGTTTAAAATGATTTCAGAGGCAATAAAACAGATTTGAGAAAGCAGAAAATTGAATCTATCATATGTGAAGGGGGACTTTGGAAGCTTTCCCTAAAGGTAAATGGTTAAAGACAAAGAAATTAAAGCAGCCAGGGACAGACTGCCAACAAGTGAGTCACACATCAGCTGTGCAGGGCAGAGAGTGGGGCTTTTGGGGAAGATACCAGAAAAAGCCAAAAGCAGCATCGTAGAAAGACAACCGAGAAAAGAAAACGTTCCTGATTAAAAACAAAAAGAAACCCATTTCACCTAATTTCAAGGAAGCAGAGACCTGATTCCACCCACCTCCTACCTGCCCCCCCACACCCCCCATCCAGTGACTCCAGGCCCTGGGCGCCAGTCCCCCACGGTGGCAGCACGTAGACCATGGAAACAGACAGACCTTACGGATCAGGGGTCACCCTCCCCATCGCCTCCCAGAGCCAGCTGTTAAACGTTCCCTGTCTGACGACTGGGGTTTTGCTCCCCACAAGCCAC